AAGTGAAGTGTCCGAACGTCATAGGGCGGGAAGCTGGGTGTGGGTGGTGGCGAAGAGTCGTTTGGAAATTTGGTAGAGCTTGAACGGCCCCCCCACAAAGTGGGGGTATTGCCCGCCTCCTATGAAAACCCTGGCACTGGTGAGAACGGTGTGTCCCCACGTGCTAGTAATTATTGTTGTTGTGGTTGCTGCTGTTGTTGTTCTTGTTGTGGTTAACTGTTTCCCCCACGTGTTTCGTGGGGTTCTGGTTTTCGTCCCTCCCGCGCCCCACCTGCGAAGCTCACACATCACCTCCTCCTCCTCTCCTCCCCTCCTCCTCCTCCTCCTCCTCCTCCTCCTCCTCCTCCTCCTCTCTCCCGGCACCCCACGCGCAACACATCGCAACACATGCACGGCACGTACATGAGACACGTGCCTACATACAGCCGCACGCGCCGCACGCATGCACACAATCGCAGACGCACCATACAACGCCAGTGCACGCCTGGCGTGCCCCCTGAATCATACACCCAAGACGTATGCACAACACACTGGGCACCCACATGAGACACACGCCCCGAGACGGCCGCATACGCATCATACACATACAAACGACACGCCATATACGAGACGTACGTGTGGCATTCGCAGTGCATGGCAGGCGTGGCGCGACACCAGCGGGAGTGCGCGGGGGGTAGTCCTTCAGCGAAGTCTCTATGCGTTGCAAGCCCGCAAGGCGTGGCAGGCGTGGCACTTTCTCGGCACCACAGGGGGTGCGCAGGGGGTGGTCCCTCAGCGCTGTCTCTGTGCGTTGCAGGCTCGCAGGGCGCGGCAGGCGTTGCACTTATTCGGCACCACAGGGGGTGCGCAAGGGGTGGTCCCTGAGAGTGGCCTCTATCCGTTGCAGGCTCGCAGGGTGTGGCAGGTGGCACTTCCCTCGACGCCACAGGGGGAGGCCGCAAGGGGGGTGGTCCGATGGGGCGCGGAGGGGGTGCGGTCTCTATCCCCTGTAGGCTCGCAGGGCGCTGCAGGCGCTGCACGTCTTGAGTGCTAGAGAGGTGCGCAAGGCGTAACTCATGGCATGCGTAGTGAAGGAGTCATGGCAGACGGAAGAACTCGTTCGATGGTTCACGCGAGAACAGCAAGCTTCCATCGCGGCACTGGCCGCAACGCTGAAGCATGAGAGAAAGTAGTTTCGACGCAAGCTCCTGTCTTTTGTCGCCGCCGCCCCGAGATTTTCCGTCGAAGGGCGCTCCCAGACATTTTCCGTCGAGAACTTCCTCTCATGTCTTCCTCAACCGCTTCATGCGCAGCTCGGAGACTTTCCGTCGAAGAGATGGCTAGGCTACCACAATGCGCGCGCAGTAGCGCGGACCTGGCTGAGAACGAGGAGAAACATTCAAAACGTTGTTTTTCCCTCCTCTGTTCCAATCCCTTCCTCTCACGTTTGCACTGTTGCTCATCCTCCTTCCCCCCGACCGAGCTGAGAAATGGAGGCAGAAGTGCAACATTCGCGATGAGGGTTCAGAACGCAGGATTGCGCATAGATGGTAATGATAAGCGAACACAGAATACTTGTCCTCAGTATCGTAATTTTGATTATGCTTTCCCATCCTCCCTCTCTCTCTCTCTCTTTCTTTTGCTCCAATCCCCAAACAATGCTTGCACTTAGGGGCTCTCACTTCTTTCCTAAGGAGCTGGGCCTGCGGGCCAATCTGGCGGCTCCGTGCTCGCCGTGGTCGTCCCGTCGCCGCCTCGTCGCCGCCTCGTCGTCTGGGCCTGCGGGCCTGTCTGGCGGTTCCGTGCTCACCATCGCCGCTCCGTCGCCGCCTCCTTGCCGACCGTCGTCTGGGCCTGCGTGCCGGTCTGGCGGCTCCGCCGCCGCCTCAATAGATTGCACCGCATAGATCCGCCACCGTGCCCTTCGGCTCGGAGTGGGCGCGTCCTCAGGCCTGCCTCAATCCTCGATCCTGATGGTTTTTAAGGGGCCAAGGCCGACCATTTTCAACTCTTCCTGGGTTTGCGGCGTGCCCCCTGGGCTCTCCAGCGTCTCCCCGTGTGACTTTTCTGGGTCCAAGAGGGCCCCAAGACGGGCCAAGGCCCCAAGAGACTCCCAAGATGGTCCAAGAGGGCTTCGAGACTGAAGATCGCTCCAAGATGCCCAAGATGGCCCCAAAACGGTCCAAGAGGCCTCCAAGACGCCCCAAGAGGCGTCCAAAAGACTTCCGAAAAAAGGTCCCCCACAGGCTAAAATCATTGATTTCCCATTGGCTTTTGGAAGCTTCTGGTCTTCTCGCTATTTCGGCTTTCCGACGCTCGAACACAGCTCAAATGCTCCCAAAGTCGCTCCCATACGGCCCAAAGACCCCCCAAACGGCCCAAGAAGATGGTCCCAAGAGGGGACCAAGAGGAGACCACGAACCGAACATTCCAGCTATCCGCCCCGAGAGGGCTCCAGGAGGCCACAAGAGGGCCCCAAGAGGCCCCCAAACAGCCCCCCAGTTGCTTCAACATTGCCTCCAAGAGGCCCCCTAGAGGCCTCGCGCCAGATCCAAACGAACGTCCACGAAACCTCATACCGTATACCTACAACCCACGCGCGGTGGAGGGACGGGCGGGAGGCCATCAGGTGGCACCACCGAGACCGCACAACCCATATTGCGCCACATTGATTGCACCACGTCGATTGCACCGCATAGTTTACATACCATCTATGCAGCATCGCGTTGCTTGCATCACAAAACTGCTCCACCGATACTGCACCACGTATATTGCACAACGTATACGGCACAACATATATTCTCCTTCTGCTTAGGGAGAAAAAAAGCACTGGTATGTTCCCCCCCCGTTATGAACGCCCCCCTTTTTGGTACTGCGCTTTACATCTGGGTTTGCCCCATCGTCCGTCCTTGGCACGAACTCGTGCCATCCCAGGCATGCCCGTATCGGCCCCCACTCGTGGTTCGCAGAAAATATTATGCGCGCGCACTCGTTTTCATCAATTTTCTAAAAACCCATTGCAACAAACAAGTGGCCGAAGTGCATACGCGCGCGTGGTCGCGCGTGCGCGTGCCAAAATCTTTTCAAAACCCATACCTTCGCAAGGGTTTCAAAATCGACTGTTCGGCAACAACAAATGAGAACTCATGGCTTCGCAACACAGAATTTTCAAACAAAAGCTTGCGCCCGCGTTCTTGCAAATTCTTAAGGCAACTATCGTTTATTTCAAAATTCTCACACCATGCTACCAAGCGGGGGTCTTGCGCGCGCGTGCCGAACTTTTGAAAACCCAGCGCGCGTGCTGTTACAAAAATCCCTTGCAACAAATGGGGCGACATGCGCGCATGCGCGTCGTCGCGCGCGCACGCCGGAAACCATCAAATGCCGTCGGTTTCGTCAGGGTGTCAACATCGATTGTCCCGAGTACATATAAACAAAAACGCATGGCTTTGCCACGCCAACTTTCAAGGCAAAAAAACATATGCCCTTTGCGTACGTGGTGGGGGGGTGCAGGTTGGACACGATCCGTGTCAAATAACGACATGCGGGCCACTCCCGCGTGTCGGCCGCGCGCGCATGTCGAACTCTTTCCAAAGCCTTCATCACCGACGCAAGGACGCCGTCATCGCCGTCGGCGTGATCAGCATCGGCGCCGTCATTGGCATTGTAGTCGTCGATGTCATTATCGTCACCAGCATCGCTACTATCATCCTCGTGGGTACCTTGTCGACGTTGCCATGATACCGCGCCCGCCCAAGTCGCCGACTCGTACTGAAGTGCCCGGTGGAAAGTGCCCAGCGGTCAGCGCCACCGCGGCCGCGTAGGACTCGCCAAATTAGATGGCCGCTGCGCGCGAGCATTCGTGGGCTAGCGCGGCCACAGAAATGCACCAGCCAACACCAAGCACTCATCGCAATCGCCGTCGCATGGGTTTTGCAATCCACATTGCTTGGGGTTGGGTGGGATGATGTCGTGAGCAATGGGGTTGACAACTCGCTGCGAACAAAAATTGATTCTCATCTCTCGAAAGAATTTAAATTCTACCCACCACCACCCGGGGTTATCATCCCGGCCTCGCGTATTGCACACATGTATGTCTCTCTCTCTCTCTCTCGTTCTCGCTCTTTCCAATGGGTTTCTGATCGCCCGCCACGCCTTTTCCTCCTTCCCCCGCTTACAGAAGCTCGTCTGCACTTCTGAACGTCTGCCAGATCATACAATGTCATACAATACCCTCAACGGCCCCCCAAACGACCAATAGTATTTTACATTGCACACGCCTATGACGCCACACATTGGATCGGAAAGATGGCGGTAACGCATACTAGCACAAAATCTACTTTCGGGCCCCATTGGTGCTGAATGCCTGCGCCCCAAGACAGTAAGCCACGGTCAACGGGCATACTATTTCACCTGCGATTTCACCGTCGACCAGGATGCAATATACTGTAAGGTAACATGATGCACTAACTGTATCATCTTGTCACGTACGGAAGCGAACTGTGATGTAGCTGACCATTTATGACTAATCGATGGTCAAGCCGCTTGGACATGCTGCTGAACCTTGCTGGTGCCCATGCCCCCAACAACACTTCGAATTGAACCGGCCGCATTTTCCTTGTCGCTTCTCCAGCCCGCCCGCCATCCCTGGAGCCAGATGAAAACCGGGCCTGCCTGGGGCAAATTTGCTCTCGCGAAGCGATTTGAATCTCCCTTTCGCTGATAGCGGCCAACGCAATCAGAGCCTCAGACAACTATAACGTGGATCGCCTAATTACGTAGATCCCATGATGTCAAGCGCCATGGCTCAATTTTCGGAATACGCAAACACGCAGACAAACGCATCTGCGTGTAACGTCGTCTTTGCCATGTCAGCGCCACCAAAATACGTCAGAAGCAAAGGGGAAGGATAATGAAGGAGAGGAGATCGTTCTCGATGAAGCAGGAGGCGTGGCCAAGAATCATGTACGGAGGCTCCGATTGGGTTGCCCAGATTGGTATGGGGTATCCCCGGTAGGCGATCAACTTCCACAGCGGATGGTTCCGCACCCACCGCTCCTCCTGCAAAGATCACCATTAGCGAGAGGAACGAAGCGAGATCCGACAAACAATTCCAGGTAATTCAGAAGCCTTGCTTTGGGAAAGAGTGGCGCGCCCATCGTGAAAGCTTGAGGCCAGCAACAGCTGGAAATACTACATATTACCAGGCGAAGCCGACACGGAGCAATAACCGGCACATAACAATGTCATCCGATGGTCTATGCTCGAAGCTTTGCCGATTCCGATGGTCTACCGTCCATCGCGAAGGAACAGTCACCGTTTCTTTGCCGTCCGCTGGCAATGCGCAAGCCGCCGACGTTTTTCCCACGCGTGCCTCAAGAACTCTCGGCCCATCCTGCCAACTTTCGCCGCGGGCCGATCCTGGCTTGTCCTGGGCCCAGGAGCGGCCCTCGGGGGCAGAGGTCACAATAAAAAGGTTGTCCGTCGCAGCTTTTGCGCGACGCCTGGAGGTCCGTGTCGATGATCCGTCCAGCATCATAGCCTGTCAACGAGCCCCCACGCCCGCTCAGGTGCCCGCTCCTACTCATATCAACCCGTGCAGTTAGCAGAACACCGTCAGGACGGCATGCTTGATGAACGGTCATGCGCAGAGCAGAATTACGTGGGCCGTAACTGCCACAAGTAGGGCATCGCTGCCTCAAATCGGGCGTACAAGCGACCCGACACACTGAAACCGTCCTCTAGACTGGCACCCCCGCTGTTCAGTAAAATGCCAAGGTTCCGTCGGTGGACCTGTTCAGAGAGGGAACGGAGCCAGCGAAACCTGGATGGGGCTAGGTCACCCACCCGCCAGGAGGACCATGGGGATGATGCTGATGATGAGGATGCTGCGGCGGATGGCCATGGTGATAATGCGAATGCTAATGCTGATGATGATAGGGGTGACGATGACGATGACGATAATGCTGCTGATGATGCGGAAGCGGCTTATGCTGTTGATATGGATGCTGATGTTGATGCGGCGGTTGGTGGTGGTGATGGTGATGTTGATGATGGCGATGATGGTGATGGTGATGGTGATGCTGCTGCTGATAATGGGGATGATGATGATGATAAGGGTGACTCTAACAATGGTGATGATGCTGCTGGTGATGCGGAAGCTGAGTATGCTGCTGCGAATGATGGTGCTGATGTTGTTGTTGCTGATGGTGATGGTGATGCTGATGATGGCGGTGATGGTGATAGTGATGGTGATGCTGCTGTTGATGATCATGGCGATGATAATGTCGATACTGATGCTGATGCTGATGACGATGGTGATCAGCATCCTCAACATGACGATGATGATGATGCTGATGATGATTGCGCTGATGATGATGATGGTGGTGATGGTACCTCAGTTTGAAAGGGGTTGGGAGGCCCAACCAACAGCTTCGCCCTAGGCGAAACCAAGCTCCAGCTCTGTTGTACCGTAGTAGCGATAGTCCCAGTAGTAGGAGGCAAGCCATCTCAAGCAGTTTTGGTATCGATAACCAATAATACACCTCGCACTGAAGTGTAGTCAGATATGGCCAGCCCGCCGCTTTGAGCCAAGCGGCCGCGGGCGCACGCGACCCCCCTGACCTGCAACGCCCAGCTCACTTTAGAGTCGGAGGGGGAGGGAGACGAAGCGGGAGTCCGCTGCCTCTATACAGCAGGTACAGCAGCTACGATGTACAATAATGCAACAAAAGGGCGGGGCCGTGAGGAAGGTGGACCCGCGCGCAAGTAGCCTTGCCTGAACTTCACTGTGCAAACGAGTACTCGTCAGGCGGCTGCAGGACGAGATGTCTGGCCAGCCGGATAAGGAGTATGACGGTTTAAGTCATGCTTGAAGGATTGCGTACCTCCCATGACATGTGGAAGCATTTCTCTGTTGTCACACAATACAGTGCACGATTCCTCTCTCCATCATCTGTCGCATCCAGCTGATGTGTCCTAAAAGGAGACACCCAGTCGGCTTCTTCAAGTCTTTGCTTGACAAGGACTGAACAACAGGCGCAGCATCTATGGTCAAAGTGACCTTGTTGCTCAGGCCGCCCAGCTCAAGTATGTCTTTCAACTGATTGGGAGTCAGCGGCCCTGCGTGGAGCTCGTGCAGAATCACGATCGTGGGGTTGCAGTTCTCCAAGTTGTGGGCTGCTGCTCGTGTTTCTGCCGAATAGCTCGAGCGGACCTGCAAGCGGCGAGACTTGCAGTGCGCATCGATCAAGTGAACGACAAGCATGCCGGATTGCGAGCTTCCACACCGTAGCAGGTTTGCCCCGCGAACGCCATGGCCTTTGACTTCGCCACCGGCATCTCCACCCAAGCGTCGATTACCTGAGTCGCTGTGCATGTCAACTTCGCCCGTGGGAGTCATCGCTTGGTAGACGATCTTCGTAAAGCAGGCCTGCAGTGTCCCGTCAATCGCGCGCAGTCGTCGCACCTGTATGTCGGTCGGTTCTTGGACACGTTGTAGAGAAACAACATATACCATCGACCACACACGATGATGAATGCATGCGCCAATGCGCCTCTGAGGCTGGCGAACATGTCTGCAATCATATTGGATGCTTGGGCGTCAGCGTCGGCGCCTGTAAGTTCAGGATGTTGTATAGGACGGAGCTGTTTGATGTATTCGTCTTGGTCCAACGTAGCACTACCACCCTCATCGCTGGTATATCTCACAGCACAATTGGTGCATGTGTGCTTGTTGAATTTACACTTGCCAAAAGTGTCTTCTACACGCTTGACGCACTTGTCAATGGTGTCCTCTGCGCCGGCCATATTGATGTCATCAACATGTTTGGCCGTGAGCAGGTTGCTGCTCGTCTCGAACTCCTCGACGTAGGACGTGGGTCTGAGACCGGAACCTTTTGTGGTCCTGAGCTTTAGTGAGAATGCTCGATGTGCATCCTTGGTGCCAGCACCTGGCTTGAGGCACTGCCAGCAGTGCATCGACTCGTCGCAGTGCTCGAATCCTGGGAGAGTTCGAAGCGCCGCAGCCGATCCAGGCGGCAGAGTAAAGCACACCGCGCTTTCTTTCTCACCTGTTGCCTCAGCAAGTTCCTGATGGGCCAACCCTTTTCAGGAATCTCGCCCTTCTCGTTCTTCACAAACTTCCATTTGTGCACGTACCTCGAAGTCATGGCGTTTGACGTTTTAGATCAGATCCTCCAGCTTGAAGCACTCGTTGCCAAACCATGTCTTGAGTTCAATGTAATTATAAGGCATTCGATACTCTCTCGGGTTGCCTGGATGTCAGCCTTCGCGGGGAGGTCGTCTTCCTTGATGACCGCAGCTCGCTTTGCAACGGCGGCAACATATACTCGCATGGTGGTAACACGGTCGGCATCTAATATCCTGTGCTGTTCGGATGGGACTACCCTTGACATGTCTGCCGTAAAGCAGAGTTCTGCAGATTGTCCGTTTTCGTCTGAGCCCAGTCCGCAACTGCAATCTTCGACCGTGGAGCAGAGTGGGACATGATACGTCTCCTCGATGTCGGAGTCGCGTGGGTGTCCCAACTTAGGCGGGTCTCCCCGCTGTTCTTCAGCTGCACGTGGCCAGCGCACTGCTGTCTGGAATTATATGTGCGGGTACGGTGAAAAGGTCCTCTATAGTGGGCTTGCCTCCAGTCGTTCCCTTTCATATTGTAGTTCTGTATACCGCACTTCCATAATATGTGCCACGAGGTCAGCCTCCGATTCCTCATGTATCGTGGGAGGCCGCCCATCCTCCTGTGGTGGTTCAGCTTCTGGGGCTTCTCTTGCGCATCCGCCCGGTGTCGGTGCATCCGCCAATTCCTCAAACTTTGGCAGATCCTGGTCGGAGCCCGCGTGAGGTTTGGTGGACTTCAGGCGCTGGGTGATTTTTGAATGTGCTGATCCAGGTATATCGTGAATGTTAAGAGCGGTGCTGTTGCTTCAAAATAGTGAAGTCCTGTATTCGGACCGTTGTCATAATGGACCTATGTGCAACTGTCAGCGAAAGCCGCCGGAGGTAGCATGTGGGTACTCTTGGCTAACCGAACCGAAACTACGTTCTCAATGCGGAAGAAATTTATGACAATGTATTGTAAAGCCAGATGTACCTTAGGAGATAGTCGGCTTGCACTTGTCATCTGAGGCGTCCCCGTCTGGGTCTGGACATAGCCAAATGTCATAGCAGGTCTCCCCGCAGGTAAGCTGGCCACGAACTGGCGATCTAAGCTTCAATCTAGAGTGAATGTCGCGCATCGCCGTATTGTACCTGGGCGCCGCGGCTTCCCATTGGCATGATGACTTGACCCCTGTCGGGATCGTTTCTTACGACCGGGAATGGGCCACTCCAGCCTCTCCAGTCGTCCTTCGTGGTTGTGGGGCGATGGTAATCAACTAAATCTCCTTCATCGTAGTAGTGCTGATCCGCGATAGTTGTCTTAGTGCGAAATGCACGATAGATGTTGACTACTGCAGTGGCCTGTGCGAAAGCTCCAATGCATACCTTGCGTATCATCTTTTCGCAAGAATGATCCGACGTGTCCGTCGGCTGTTCGTTGTCCAGGAAAGGCAAGTCGGGGGGCATTGCCGGCTGCCGTCCAAACAGGGCGTTGTATGGAGACACTTCATTATATAAGATGAACGCGTCGGCAGCACAGACGGCTTCATGAAGTAGTCGTGTAAACGCAAGAGGTATGTCTAACCGGTTGAGTTCAGCTTCCATGACATGAAGTAGATGGCGCTGTATGCCATCTCTGGCTTCGATCGCCATAGCGTGTTGTCCACGCGCACGTATCCTTAGTTCAGTGTCCTTTGCCTTAAGGACTGCTTTCGCAGTGTCGTTGTTGAGGGCACCCTCTCCGTCGAAGTAGAGTACCTTTGCAGGTCCAAACTGCAGCCAGCACAGATGGTACGCATCCAGGGTGCTGGTCATCGTCTTCTCTGGTATCTCCATTCCAGTGGCATAGCGGATACAACGATCGATGATCTGACATATGTTATGTTCTTGCTTGTAAAGCGTAAGGTCACATTCAACTTCATCGTTGAACTTGCCAGGCA